ACTTGCTGTATGGGCCACACCAGCAGGGGTCACACACTGCATGAGCTACACCAGTGATGGTGATCCAGCACGACCTTGACAGGCTTGGCAAAATGGGCGGATGAAAACCTGATGGCCTTCAACACCGAAAAATGCAAGGTACTCCACCTTGGGAAGAAAAACCCGCAGCATGCTTATAGGCTCGGCAGTACTACGCTTGTTAGCACCCCGGTCGAAAGAGACTTGGGGGTCATGATTGACCACAAGATAAATATGAGCCACCAATATGATGTTGCAGCCGGAAAAGTGAGCAAAACTCTGGCTTGCATCCATAGATGCTTCTCTAGCAAATCCCAGGATATCATCCTCCTGCTGTACTGCCTTGGTGACGCTGCAGCTGGAGTACTGCATCCAATTCTGGGCTCCACAATTTAAAAAGGATGTAGAGAAGCTCGAGAGTCCAGAGGAGAGCCACGCATATGATCAGAGGGCAGGAAAACAGGCCTTATTGATGAGAGGCTGACAGCTATGGGACTGCTCAGCCTGGAAAAGCACAGGCTCAGGGGGGACCTGGTGGCTGCTTATAAGTATATAAGGGGTGTACATCAGGATCTGGGGAAACATCTGTTCACCAGAGTGCCCCATGGGATGACAAGGTCAAATACTCACAAACTCCTCTAAGACGGTTTCAGGCTGGACATAAGGAAGAACTTCTTTACTGTCTGAGCCCCCAAGGCCTGGAACAGACTGCCGCCAGAGGTGGTGCCAGCACCTACTCTGGACTCCTTTAAGAGTCAATTGGATGTTTATCTTGCTGGCATTCTGTGACCCCAGCTGACTTCCTGCCCCTGGGGCAGAGGGCTGGACTCGAGATCTTCCAAGGTCCCTTCCAGCCCTAATGTCTATGAAATGTATGAAATCCAGGATGGACACTGCACGGGTGCCTCATCCCACATGCTCAGTTCCCCAGCCAGGGGCTTTTCCTGCTGCACCACACATTATGAATGCTTTGGGCCATGGAGTTCCCCAACACCACAAGCTGCACTGCTCTGACCTCTAGGATGGGGCAGGAAGTGGAAGCCAAAGGAGGGAGGGGTAGCCTAGAGTCCCTAGTCGCTGCTGCAGCCAAAGTGATGGAGGAAGTGGCAGCCAGGTGGTCATAAATGGTTGCCAGCTGGACAGCTCTGTTGTAGTCGATCAAATGCCACTGATTGAACCACAGGTGCATCCAGGAAATACTGTTCTAATTCAGGAGCTAAAAGATGATGTTTTTAATGGTACAACTGTGCAATGGAATGTGTTTAGCCACTGGTGCTGCACTTTGCCATGTTTGCCAATAAAACAAGAGTATAATAATATACAATAGAATTTGCCAATAATACTATGTTTGATGGTCTGTTCCAATACAGGCATCAAAATTGTTCAGGATAATGAGCTTGCCCTCCTTTGGTACTGGCAAATTACAGAGCATCACAGACTTTATCTTTTAATTAGCCATGTTTCTCATGGTTGGTGCCCAGGCACTCATGATGGTAGCATGACACTTCCTGACAGAGGTAATCATCTTCTCACTGAGTAATCATTTATGCCTTCAGGTAGATAATCTAGTTTATTAGCAGCAGTGGACTGAAAACTAAATCCAGCCTGTAAGCCATAGGTGGCTAACCTGGAGCATGAGCGTCACAAGTGGCAAGGGCAGCTTGTGTGTATGGCATGTGGTAGATCAGGGAGGTGACCCTTAGCACAGAAGCAGATAGGGCAGGAAACAGAAAGCAGAGCAAGAGATCAGGCAGGGAACAGAGTAGAGAGCAGCAAGCAGAGTAGCAGATTGGGCAGAGACTAATTTGTTGCACACCTGCCAAAAAAAAGGTTGGCCCCTACCAATCTTCTGTGGAATGATCACTCCAAAACACAAAAAAAGTGTAGCTTATTCCACACTCTCTACAGTAGAACTTCTTCTGCAAGGAAAGTTTAACTTGTGGCCTTGCTCATCAAGATCAAGTGGCAAGACAAAGTTTAGACAGCTGGATATGGGGGATGGCCTGCTAAATCCAGTCCGCCTGCATTAGTGACCAAAGCTGTCTACAATATTTTCAAGATAAAGATATTGACATAATTTCCTGGGGTAATCCATGTGCACTAGAAAAGGAGCCGAGTATCCTTCCAGAACCTATTCAGGTAGTGGCCATGTAGTGCACAAGCGACTATTTTGAGCCACAGGTGAGTCTGAACACAGCATGGGAACCAATTACAAGGAGACTACTTACTAGATGCAACTGACTGTAACAAAGGTGCTATTTGTTATGTCTCCCATGGAGGTAAGATGGTGTCTATAGACACAAGTTAAATCTGGTGTAGTTAAAATGGTTCAAATTAGTTGTGTAGGTTTCTTGATTGATTTTATTAGATTAATATAGTTTTTAGATTTAGAGATGGCCTCAGAGCACTAACAAGCCACTTGGTTCAGAGAATCAGCAGCATCTTTTTGATCCTCCTCACAGCCTAATCAATGACGGTCACCAGGGTGTGGTGAAGGATGTTCAACTCACAGCCCATGGGCTAGATCTAGCCCACAGAGTCATGTCACTGGCCTGCCAGACTCCTCACAAGTCGAAAAATTGGTGGTGAATGAGGGGTGGCAGTGTTGTCACTCCTCTGCTACCAAATTTCCAGGCCAACAGGGAGCCCTGAGGGCTGGAAGGCATGGCTTTATATGTTATATCAGACATTCAGGGTTGGGGTGGAATGGAGTCTGATCTGGGCACTGACCACGCAAGGGATCTGGCCCACAGACTGACCCCACACCACTCAGATGGTCTGCAGGGCTAAAACGTTGAGCACTACTGTTTTAGGCTAGGATTATCAACTCAGTACACCAACACAGACCATACACATTTGTAATTCCATCTCATGTGATCTGTTCAGATGTTTTGTTATTAAGCAAAAACCTACTGATGTCAGTACGAATTTTTCCATTGACTTTCACAGGCTTTGGATCAAGTCCTTAGTAGTGTTGAGGTATCTGCTATTGATTTATGCAAGATATAGACTACACTACTAATTGTTGAAGAAAAAAAAATATAGATAGGAATAGAGTTTCTACTTACTTCAGAGAAATAATACAATGCTGGCAAAATCTGTGACCACATCCTGTTTGGTGAGGATTGTGAAGGACTAGGTGGCAAGAGGCACATTTGTAGCGATCTTCCAAGGTTTCAACAAACTGGTAGTCGGTGTCTGCTTCAAAGTCTAGAGAAACGCCACTGGTGGAATTCTGGCGTGCAAAGATGTCTGAATGACCAGGAGATTCTTCAGAGGCCATGGAAGCTGAACTGAAAAGCCAAATACAGGAGTTGCCTATTAAATTAATTCATGATCAGCAAAAACACCTCCGCTACATTTTGCAGGAGGAACTTGGACACATTTTTAGGCTTAAATTTGTGGCTTTGACATTGATTTCAGATGCAAATACACTATTACTTACTAAATAGCAGTAACAAAGAATATCATGACACTAGAGAACACTGAATAATTTATTAGAGGGCTAGCACTAACATTTATTTTGGAATAAGATTTGCTGCCTGAAATTTCTCCCCAACAAGAGGTTACTTGTTCCTAGATTTTGTGACAAATCCTTACTTGAACAAAACTGGCATGGATATCACTTCAGTATAACCTACAGAAAAATTCAGTCCTGTAAGTCGGCTCTCTGAACTTTACACAATTCCTTACATGATGATCCTGTTGTTATTTAGATTTGTATCTTGCACTATTCAAAAGATTTAGAGTGGCTTATGATAAATGACAAGAGCCTGCACATCATTACTAACTCATTTACACTGGCTCAGAAAGAAGAAATCATAATTACAGTTCATAGGCCCATTACATGAAAAACAGCAAAAAGGATGATTCTACCTTTAGTTCAAGTGTGAAGGAGGTCAAAGCCTTAAGATCTAATATTTCCCTTCCAATAGATCATCAATCGATAACAATAGGAATCCTGTTTTCAAAATCTTACATAGCTATATGTATTATTGGCTGCATGAGTCCTGCCTGAAAAGGAAGGTGGGGGAGAAGGGAAGAGAAGAGAAAGTATGATTGTAATCAGTAATGCGAAAAGTTTCTTTGGACCTACCAAAACTTGCAATGGAGCATATAAACCACAGGACTGAAGTCTCTGTTCTCTAAGAAGAACCTCATTCATTGCTAGCCTAGCTGGTTCACAAAATAATCAGACCAGAAATCTGTCACTGGTCCTCTAGTCTAGTAGTACTTTTTCACAATTGGTCCACAACTGACAACTGTATGCCTTTTCAGGATTCAGTATAATTTTCATTTCTTAAAACTTAACATTCATAGAACAGCTTATTTCCTTCTCTTCATGTTATATGCATTAACCAGTACAGAGATTTAATTAGTGATGTTAACTTAAATATAGGTGTAACAGGGTGGACTGTCTCCTTAAGAGGGGGCAGCCAGTCGTGTTGAGCAGCTGCAGCTATGAGAAGGCTTCTGCCAAGGGAGTGACTCCCTGGGAGCTTCAAATCCCAAAGAAAAGAGCAGCAGGGTAGCAAACTGTGAGGGAACAGTTGTAAGTCAGAGGCAAACAGTGACCTGAACCACCCACTGTACAGAGGGGCCAGACTTCTGCGCTAGGGCCAGAGCCACGGGATCCGGGACAGGACAACAAGGTTTGTTTGTTTGTTTAAAGGTTTTGTTTTATCTTGCATGGACTGACTGAGGAGCTCCTTATGGAGCAAAAGCCCACTGAGAGAAGCCCACACCTGCTTACAATAGGTTAACAAATTTAATTATGGAATATGTGCAAAGGCAGAACACGCCTGTCATAGCAACTTATATTTAAATAAAAAGTTCGACTCACAAAATGCACTGCTGGCCATTTTTCATTACCCCCCATTACTCACAGCACAAAGTAAATTACCTTACTATAATGCACCTTGGCATGAGTTAATTAAAAGTGCTTACTGTTCATTTACAACACTTGCCTTCTGGGCAACACTGACATACAGTAAGATAACTTGTACTTAACAATGTAAAAAAACACTCAGCCCAGGTTCTAGCTATCACACCATGTTGAGAGTATTTGTTTTTAAATAAAGGCTTTGTTACGGGGTGGCTATTTCTCTTCTATATTTATCATCTTATTCCTTAGCCACCACCTCTGAAAAATATCAGTGTATTTTTTTTGGTGTGCATGAACTTGCACACCTTGAGTTTTCAAAGCTCTCTACCTGGTAAAAAAAGCACCTCTTGTTAGGGCCTGACCCAGCTTCTTTGAAGTCAATGGGAATCTTGTGGTTGATTTCAATAGAGGTTAGATTGTTACTCCAATAAATGAAACATCAGAACTAATGTGATGTAGTAACATAATTCTGACTTGAAAAAGGTGCTCTTTTGTGAATATGCCATCATTACGATTGGAAACTGGGGACTAATAAATGCCATTTACCACCTGAGATTCAGAAGATAAACCAAAATTATCCAAAAATTTATAATCCCACACTAAGCAAGGAATTACCAATGGAAATTAAGAGTAGGTGACTAAGGAGATGGAAATCATATAACTAAACAAATGAACTTCAGAGTAATTATTTAGATTCTCTTTACAGTTCAGTGCTCTACTTCTGATTTCTAGGTTATATTTATATACCAAGTTTACGTAAGCCTGCTGGCCTCTTAAGCCTGGGACAGGCATTGCCTAAACTGGTTTGACCCAAAACAATTAAGTCTAATATACTACATTCAACCAGGTTTATCTCAAACTGGTTTCAGCCATTTTCAAATTGGTTTATGTGCACTGAACATAAGCTCCGTTACAGGTTAAAACCAGTTTCTGATCACTTAAACCAGTTCGTGTGTAATGTCTGTCCCTAGCTTTAAAGTGTCAGACATTCTCAAGTGTATTGAATCATGTTATCTCCTGGCTGTAACTCCTAGGGAATATAGATCTTAATACCACCATTATAAGCATAAAGATTTGTTATGCAGTAAATCCAGACAGAAAAATAATATATACTGTATATATGAAACCTGCTACAAACTATAAATATAAACTATATTTGCAAATTGCTCTGTGCAGTTTCCCAAGGTAAAAGGCTTTTGTCTCAAACTGGAGGCAATTTTCCATTCTTCTCACTTTATATTTTTTAAAGAGCTGCCCCTTTCCCTGCTGAAAATAGGCTTCCCATTTCTTTGGCATTTGGCTAGCAACAATTTTGCTTTTCTGTCATTCATCAGACATGTACAGATGCAGAACAGAGGAAATGCTATAGTAGACGGTTATGGAATAAGCTTCCTTCAAGACAAACTTCTCACCAACTGCTTTAAGTTAGCACCTGAAAACTAAATATTTTGTGTTGTCTATTAATCTGCATGATCCATATGGCTATCCAGTGCTTTCTGGAATCCAACTATTCACTCAGATTAAACTCAAAACAAGGAGTTATGAGGAGGGTTATGTAATTTTTTTTCCTTTGTTTTCATAACATAGCATGTAGCTTGTAGAAAATAACAGCAGAAAATTACTTAATTTTTTTTGTTTTTTTTCCTTCATGAAGGCTCCTCCATTCAGCAGGTTAACAGTTATGTTTGCAAACAAATTAAAATAGGCTAAGTATGAGTAGGGACCTACTTAACTCACAGTGAGATGAAGCCATTTTCATGGCTTGTTTGTGGCATGAAGGGCCAATTTCCAGGGTATTTCCTGGAGGCCCCACCATCGCCGCAGATTGGGAGAGGCCATCATCACAGACAGTCAGTAAGTCTCAAGCACATGAGAGTGGCTGCAAGGACTGCCATGTCAATTCGATGTCACAGTAAGGATTGGGAGATTCTAAAACGGTGTATTATATGAAAAATATGCTGGAGGTTTTTCTGGGTTGATTTTGCAGGAAATCATGGCAGATGGAATATTTTCTGACAATTGCGACTTGTTGATTTTTCTGGTTTCTGTGAAAACCACAAATTTCGTAGATCCCCAAGTATGAGAATTCTTTCATTGAGGAAGTTCTGACCAGCTAAGATTTCACATAAAAATCTGTACAGATAAAACATTCACCATTTAGGAAAGAAAGTCCATTTTTTAAAAAGCCAGAGCTTCCCATCTGCCTTTCCTCTGGCAGAATGAGTAGCAGAGCTACCTTTGCCTCTTCCAGGTTAAACATACAGTCTTAAGGGCAAACAGCTTTGGAGCACATAACTATGATTCTTTGTCCAATGGGTTACTCTTGAATTTTCTACTTCAGCCCTCCACTCCTGGCTAATCTTTCCCCAGATATTTGCCATCAGAGTCAGTATCTGTAAACATCTGAGTTTCACACAGCTCAAAAGGATCACAGGACTTATGCCAGCAAAATAAACCTAATAGGCAAATTAATCATTGCCATACGTCACTTCAGTGACATCAGTGAGTTGCTCTTTTACACCAGCGATGCATTGAGCCCCATGCGATTAGTTCAGAAGAATCTTTGAATTAACGTTCATTCCTCAGACATGTATAAATGCAGAACAGAGGAACTGCTATAGTAGAGAGTTATGGAATAAGCTTCCTTCAGGACAAATTTCTCACCGACTGCTTTAGCTAGCACCTGAAAAATAAATGTTTTGTGTTTTCTGTTAGCAGGTTAACCTTTCTGTTAACCTTCTGTGATAAATCTGCTGCTAAAGATTGCATTGTGTTTGATAATTGGAACAATTGCAGGTAAAACATGATTTCTAAAAGAACGTGTGTCCAATGATCTGACTCAGACCAGGGTGTGGAAACTCAATTCCACTTCCTGCTTCAAGCACTTGATGCCTATTTCTTCCGAACTCAAAACAAAAATAAAATAGACATGGGAAAGTCAGCTTTGCAGTAAAAAGAGCACCACTGATTAAATGAATCAATTTCCTGCTTACGCTGTGTCTGACCAACAAAACGGATATTGTACAGTTTTGCACATTAAACAGCTAAAAGTGTAAAGTGACGCTACCTTTGCATGTACTGCAATATTGAAGAGAATAATCCCAGTACTATTTAAAAAAGGGGAGGGGTGGGTGTCAGAATGTATAGTGGCAGTCTTTTGTCAGAAAGAAGACAGTCGCACAGCAACATTGCAAACAGACTTTCATTCTAAACCACGGATTTTCAACCAGGGTGCAGAAGTACTAGACTAGGGTGCCCAGGGATCCTTTAAAGGGTGCCTCAGAATGTGTAAGGAGATACTGGAGGTGTGAGGGGATAAGGAGATAAAGGCAGGCTCAGACTTCAGGTGTAAGGAGATAAGGGCTGCCTAGCTGTTCCCCTGCCCCTGCTGCCTGCCCCCTCTGCAAGGAGTAAGCCCTGTAATTAAATACATAAAGAGTTTAAGAACCACTGCTCTAAGCAAATGTTTGAAGTAAAAAGAACTCTGAGGGCCAGAGCAAACCAGAGGTCAAAGAATGACTTGTTTCAGGGAACTTTTTGAACAGTAGACTGAACTTAATGTATTTTGACACCACGCTGTAAAATGAGTTATGGGGTAAGAAATTAAGTCTATACCCCTTATGATGTGTTACTAAGGGTGTGTCTACATGTTGCCATACGACAACGTTGGTACAGCACTGTGCTTTAGTACTTTTTTTGGAAGTACTAAAGCATGGCACAGTAACCGCCTGTACTGAGCTGTGCACACGGCGCATGGTTAGAGTTTGTTGCTACATCACTAACAGTTCACTAAAACAGGGGAGCATGCCACTATGGCAATGAAGCTGCTGATCATGTGTAGACCCGCCTGATCGCTACATTGTGCCATATAGCGATATAGCATGTCACTATCGCGATGTGTAAACGTGCCCTAAGCCCCAGAATAATTAGACCTCAGTAATAACACAATACTAGCATGCTCATTGCTCCCCTCCATATTTCTATTTAGTAACTCATCCCCCACACCCTCAGAAGGGCCAAGATCAGCACAGACAGGATACACAATTTGTTTACACGATAAAAAATCCATTAGGAACATTTTCAGAATAGAACAGTAAGATGACAGGGATGCTCTCCCTGAACTAGCACAA